AAACGGTTCATGAATATGTAAACATAAGGTATTTCAGTGGACTTTTCAGAGAGCATACTTTGCCTAGTACAAACACAATTGTATAAATACAGTATTTGCACTTTAAACGCACACTTTGCCATTTTTTGGTTGAGAATGGTGTTTATTTCGTATCTTGGTTGAGTATGCTCCTTTAAATAGTATTCACTTGAGTCAAAGTGGGCTCTTTGCTTAATAATTACTCTAGTAGCTAAATTCGCATAGAACCAAGAAAACTGTTTCACTGTTTGATTAATACTTTGCCTCCTACAAACACAATTGCATAAATAAATTAGTTGCTCAACAAAACATTAATTGCCCTTGAAACGCACAATTTGCATAGAAAACACTGACCTAAACATCTAAAAACAGCATTGTCCGCTTCAGATTCAAAATGTAGATTCTTCCAATGCTGGCTTATCGGGTCTGTGAGGTGGGTGTCCCAGTAACTGTCCTTCATTACCCGGTGATTAACTACGCGACTTTTGGGCCTTCTTTGTTGTTTTTTGTTAAAAAGGCCTAAAAAGGCCTAAAAAGGGTAGGTCGCTGGGGGGGGGGTAGCATATATATATATATATATGTATATACATATATGGAATGTGTGTGAGTGTGTGTACAGATAGATCGGCAGATAGATAGACAGACAGATAGGTAGACAGATGGTTGTATGCGTCTATGCGAAATACATATACACACTACATTTTCCCATGTGAATCTGGACATGTCGTGCAGTGATCCGCATGTCACGTGCCCTGAACTCTCCTAAAACGCTGGAGCCTCAGCCCTGTGTTCACCTGCCTGTAGGAAAAGTTTTGGCACAAGCTGCACGTTGGCACTCAAGATCTTAGGTTCCAAATCTACTCGAGATTTCTCCCTTAAGAATCGATTCCTTGATCCTTGTTATCAGCTCTGCGATCAGCGGCCGATGTGGCCTTTGGAGTCTATCGTGCCTTCGCGGGGCCAGGGGGGAATGAGGAGGGGGAAACTTCATCTCTCGGAAGTTGTTAAACCTCGTTGATTTCCTTAAATCGCCCTCAATTGAAGTCTCCTTATGAGCCGGTCATGCTGGCAAGACAGAGACTTAAATAACTTGAACGTCTCAATGCTTTTTGGCTTGTAAAGCTTTCAGGGCCTGGCCGATGGAGCCTTGTGCAGTTGCAGTGACTTCTTTTTTAGACGAACAACCTTGCAGTCTCAAATACAGATTCTATATATATATATATACACACATTTTTCATAGCCCCAAAAATACACCGGGACGTTGTTGGGGGAACCCGAAAGCAGGTCCACCAAAAAAGGCCCCAAAAGACTCCCACAAGCTTCGCGAAAAGATGTTAAAAGGTCCCATCCCCTGTTGTCGGGAGGCCCACTCCCAGAAAAACATGAAGAACCGTGGCCCACTGTATTTAGTATTTGTGTCAGCTCAGCGCTGGGCCCGGGCGCAGGATCTCTTGGCAGAGCTGAAGGAGGAGAAGGCAGCACGAGCCAAGCAGCAAGCAGAGCAGCAGGCGGCCCGACTTCTCCGAAGTAGTCAACTTTGATATTTTAACTGTGATACTTTTGGCTGCTCCCGCTTGCTCCTGCCTTCGGGCTTTTGGAACCCTAAACCCTAAGCCCTAAACCCTAAACCCTAAACCCTAAACCCTAAACCCTAAACCCTAAACCCTAAACCCTAAACCCTAAACCCTAAACACTACACTTTACCCCAAACCCTGAACCTCTGAGTTGTTTGTCGGTGCGCAAGGAGACGCAGAACACCGTCAAGGAACTCACAAAGCTGCTCAAGAAGGCAGTGCAGCGTGCATCTGTGAGCCTCCATGTGTTGACGTTGAGAGCTTGAGTTTGAGGGCCATTCACTTCGGAGGCCGAGGCCGAGATGAAGGAGGCGAAGGTGGTGCGCGTGCACGACCAGCAGCTGGACAGGTTGGATATGGCTGAGGAGGTCGGGGGCTGTGGGCAAGCCCGCTTCATCCTGCATGATGATCCGGAGCATTGTGCTTGGGGTAACCTCCTTAATCGACCCACCCGGGATCATCGCGCGTGACGACGTTCTGGCACAAGTCTTGCTCAACTTTCACATTTTTGTTTCAGCATCGGTGCTGAGCCGGGTGGGCCCATCCCTTCTTATTGTAGGAGCAACTCCATCGAAGCTCGCTGAAGCCACCTGGTCGTGCAGACGCGGCAGAGGACCTAGGATGTGACAAGATGTATTCATCCACATCTGCTTGTACACATGAGCAGGTTGTGTGCAGCACTGTACAGAACTTTCATGGAACAGTTGGTAGAAGGACTGCTCAAGGTTTCAGGCATGCATTTGTGCAGGTTGACAAGTGTGTCGGTTTCTGTGTATATGTATGTATGCATGTATGCATGTATGCATGTATGCATGTATGCATGTATGCATGTATGCATGTATGCATGTACGTGTGTTGGTGTGTGTGTATGCTCATGTGTCTGTGTCTGCGTATGTGTATGCATGGATGTATGGATGGATTGGTGTACGGGTGTACGGATGTGCGGATGTATGGATGTATGTATGCATGTATGTATGTGGGCATGCATGTATGTGTGCCTGGCTGGCTGACTGCCTGCCCGCCTGCCTGCCTGCCTGCATGTGTGTCGTATGTGCGAGGTAGGTAGGTAAGTAGTAGGTAGGCAAAGACAGCATGAGATGGTTTTCTAGGCACAGGTACGCGCGCATGCTTTTTTTTGGGTTTTTGTATTATGACTGTTGCATCGTACTACTTGGAGATCGTAACTGGCTGCCGAGCGGACACTGCAGAGGACTTCCAACTTTGCCAGGGAAGCTCCAAGAGCTTCCTGAATGCGATGACCATGCATACGACAATGACGGTGAGCTTTGGACTGCTATACTTCGCGGCACACATCTTCAGCAGCATCACACCTTTCGTTTTTGGAAAACCCGAACTCAAAAGCCCACAGCCAAGCTACACGCATCTCACGTCGAAGGGTCCTGACCAACGAACGAGCCTAAGGAACTCCTCGAGGACGACGACGTGCCACCCGAAGTCTGAGGTGGGCATCGTTCAGGGAGGCGAAGTCACGTGCTGTCCCGTCAAAGTCGCTGGAGTCGACCCAAGAAAGGCTTGTTTTGTCGTTCCTTTTGCTTCTTCTGAAAACAGTTTGATTGAGCCCGTAAAGTGCAGCTCGCCATTGTGCAGCGACCAGCAAAGGAACGCTTCTGTGCCGGCTGTGCAGAGATGGATCTGCAGGGCACAAGTTGCAAGAAGTGCAGCGGAGGTTTCAGGAAGCTGGATTCTGGATTCTGTGAGGCATGCGTCTGGGACATTTTTGGAATGCTCATGTTTTGGTACCTCTGCGAGCCAAGCCTCCATGCTTGTTGTTGGGTTGTTTTCAAGCATGAGGCATGGACCTCCCACATTGGGTGGGAAAGTCTGGTGAGACTTGCAGCACGGCCACCTGCTCCGCAGAGAAGTTCCAGGGGATCTCCTCGGACACAGCCTGCTGCAAGTGCGGCGGCGGTCACAAGCAGGCCGGGAAAACGAGAGCTCGAGGCTTCGATGGCAGCATGGAGAGATCATGGCTTTTGAAGGGATGTCGGCTAAATGAAACGCGTTTTCATATGACAATGTAAGCCACGTCCAGGCTACGAAGTTCAAGTACTATGTGGAGCCCATGGCCCTCGACAGCGAGATCGTGGTTGGTCACCCGTGGCTTGATGGTTTATTAACGGTTTCACACTCATAGCTCTTGAGTGGAGGTGATGGCAGGGTCCCAGGTCACTTCCGTTCTTGCTTCTTGCTTCGTTTCCTCATTGCGGTAATGTGGCCCACGAAAGCACAACGCCCTAGGATTCCGCGGACTGCGGGCCGCTACTCCGTGAACCAGGAGAGCCCGCCATGGCTTTCCATGGCTTTGGAGAGTCATTTTGCCTAACCTCACCCAGGCCAATAAAACGTTGATCAGGAGTAAAGCCACACAGCTCAAGGAGAGAATAGCACTGACAGAAAAGCAAGCGATGGCACAAGGGCAATGCTATTGCGAAGATTTGCTGCTGGGTTTCTGCCAATAGCTACTGCTTTCGTTGCGGTTTGCCCCCAGTACATTTAATGAGGCAACCTGCGCATCAGGAACGTGAGCACCACCATGTGACTATAAGCTTTTACGTATATACACCCGTACCATGAATTCAGTTTCAATGATGCCATGCAGGATTGCGAATTGGCGACTTGTTCGCGACCAACGACCTATGGTTTCAGCAGAAGACCGTCGTCGACGTAGGGGATGCAAATGTGTGCTTTTGGAGAGCTCGAACTTCTAGCACGCTAGCATCTTAGATGCAGCCTCCGACAGCTAGCTTATAGCGCGGCAAGAAAGGACCCGGCACGGAATGTAGGATTATTGGCTCGCTAGTCAGATAGTCATTGTCAGAGAGGCTCGTGGATCACAGGGGCAGAGCAATCCAGGCGTGCAGGTTGGTATGGCTGTACGGCATAGATGTTTGAGAGTTTGCAGCGGATCCAACGGCCAGCTGCCTGAGAAAGCAGGCTAGCCATCAGCAAGAGAATACTCGGAATGTAGGACTGGAGCTGACTATCTATCGGTCATGTGGCCAGACACACAAGCCTCCGCCACGAAGCCTAGGCTAAAATGTACGCTTTAACCAAGACAAATGCTTGCCTCTCAGCATCTGGTTGAAGCCCCTCGCGTGAAAGCGATGAGGCGAGCTACGGCCTGACGTTGGATGCAGAGACAGGCGCACTCCAGCTTGCCGAAGGCTGCCCCAAGCTTGGCTGTTGGAAGTCGCCGATCGAGGCCAGGCAGTCGGAGCGTTGAAGGCTGTTATTTAGTTGCGTTGCTCAACTTTGATTTGTCATTCCAGCCAGTTCCCATTTCTTGCTCGACTGCGGTGCTTGTCCTGTACTGCCCGTGTATTCAGTCCCAAACAGCGGAGGAGAGCTGAAAGAAGATCCTGCATATGACTTTCTTTAGAGTGAGAGATGCTCAGCACGGCGCAGGTGGACTGCATTGTCACGGCCCATGAAGATGTAGGCTTGGCAGCCTCGACCAAGCTTTCGGTGCGTGTGGGAATGATCAACTACGGCTCCATGGCAGGGAGAGTTTCGACCCTCTGCCTCTCTTTTGCGGAATTTGTGGAGAGCTCTTTTGAGAGTGATTCGATGCCGGCTCAGGTTCAAATCCCTTGGTTCTATTGCCTGGTGTGGAGCACGTTCCAGTACAGCAGTCCTCCCTGGCCGTCAACGATGCCATCTTTAAGCTTGTTTCTGGGTTCAATAGCAGCGGGATCTGTCAGTGAATGTTGCACACTGCATGTGGGGCTGCCTTTTGGACAGGCTTGTGCGCCCAAGCCTACATGGCTGGACATCGATGAGAGCACTGGCGCCGTGTCAGGCGTTCTTGGGTCGGGGGCTTGAGCCATCTTGAGCCGGTCAAGTCTCTTCTAGTTGTTAGCTGCACTGGGCCATTGCATATTCTTTTGCTTCACTCCTCACATGGAAGGGACAGCCGGTAACGTGGACAGCTGTTTGTCGAGAGTGTAGCAACAGACAGGCGTACTGTCCGGCGTCCACCAGGCGAACTCATCGCCGCTCGGAGAGGAATGGGCCAAGCGATAAAATGTCTGGAATCTGCAGAATCCTATCAGGCTCTTGCCGGCTTTGTTCCAGATGCCAGTGACGGGTTAGGTTCTCAGCTGTCCTGAGTGTCGTAGTTCCGCTGGTTGTGAATGCCGGCCCCCGCTGGGTTAGTCAATCACCACTCAGCCAGTTTTTAAAGCTTTGCCGTCTGCACCGATGTCTTTACAGCGCTCCTTTGTAGTTCCCTCTTCAGCTGTCTGGCAGTAGCCTTGTCCGTTGGTCCGTGTAAGGGCTGACTCCTTTTCCCACTGCTTCGGTTGCAGTCGATTCTCTCGGGCTTCAGTGCACCTGCATAGACATGGCATCTCGAAGGAATTGTTACGGCTGTCATGGTTCCCCAAAGCCTTCGTGGGATTTGCCATGCGACGAGGTCTTCCGTGCTGACCGACAATGAGGGTGGTCTTCTCGGAGTCGGTGCGACGTGCACGGTGCACAAGGGCGCCAGCAAGACGCAGGCGACGCGCTCCCGGCGTTCGACATTTCAGACTTGGGCTTGGGCCTTCCAGCAGTTGTTGAGGGTTTTGAATCTTGATTTCTTGCACCCGTCAAGCCATTTTACTTCTTGATTAGGGTGACTCCTGGGCGTTTCTTTTCAGGGTTTAGGGTGCCTTTCCGAGTAGAAAGTGATTGGTCCTCAGCCGTGGAGTTGGCGATTGAGAATCTAGATGGTCTCAATGACACGCTTGCAACCTCACAGTTTGAACAGCTCCTGTACAACCGAATCAGACTTTCTGCATTTGGTGTGCAGCAAATATATACTGAAAACGAGTCGCTGCGAACAAACCTTGAACAATTTCTCCCCAATCACAGGTGGTGGTCATCGCGCCGCATGCATGGACTTCCATGTCGTATTCCTATGGCTCCACGACCACCCTCTATGCGACCTTGGGAGAGAAGCTTGCTTCGCGTTGGCTCTGCAAATGCTCTGCAGTGTGCAGGCGATGGCCTGTTTTCTCCAGAGTCCCAAGCATAATCGTCGTCGTTTCTGCAGTATGCTACATTCAAGCATCGTTTATTTGTACCCTCTTGTGTTGACTTCTGCCAGTCAGCATACTTCGGACTATGTATCCTGGAATTCCAAGGAAGTCTCCCATCCTGGAAGTCAAGGGAGGAGCTGGGGAGGCGCCAAACCGCTTCGACGCCGCTTGCGGAAAGCTGGCGAAGTGGCTCGGCGCTGCGGCGTCCGCCAGCCATATAGTATTGACAGGTAAACGCAATCGTGATAGAGAGATGGATAGATGAATAGATAGATAGATAGAGGTGCATGCACGCATACATGCATGCACATGTGTATACACATATATGTAGAATATATGTAAACACACTGTATATGTATGTATATATATATACATACACATATTCATCTTCATGGGTCATGACCATGTTCATGAGCGTGCTCATGGCCATATTCCTGATCATATTCATGTTTTGCACATTCGTATATTCATATCTTCACAGTCACGTATTCATGCACATATTCACATACTCACATATTCAAATACATGAGAATATACATTTTCATACACATACACTGACATACACTGACATACACCCATAAATACATACATGCAATGCATGCAGAAAAAAGAGATACACATGCAGGTATGCTGTGTGTGTGTGTGTGGGGGATTTGGAGGGAGACCCTTTGCCGCTTCATCTCCAGAAGGATTGTGGTGATCGATATATGTCGAAATGGGCTTTGAGATCCGCGTTCTGTGCCGCGCGGCGTGTATAAGCCAGCATTGTCATAGAAGTTCACAGAAAAACCGCACGTGTTAAATAGCTGCATCCACATCTAGTTGTTTAGTTAGATGAATGCACAAGCGCGTTATTACACATATCTGTTCAGTACGACACGTACCGTTACCGTGCATTCAGCTTGGATATGTGCGCATAGCTATATGTATATATGAATGTACCGACATGCGCGCATACATCTGCAGACAAACGCGTAACGGCGGTTAGATGATTCGATTTGGGTGTTTTCTTATGAAACTTGAAACTGGGCTATTCAGGCACGGCATGGAGGTAGACCCCAAGTTCGCTTTTGACGTTAACACGGGAATTGCCACGTACTCCGACCACCAGATCTTCACCCTGGATGTTGCAAATGGGCGCTTGCAGCTCACTCCGCAAGAATCCTTGAGCGACGTCATCCCGATGAGCAGTGATGTCTATTCTGGCCGGGCCACTCTGGACTTCACGTGCAGGATTCCAGTGCCTGCTGTTTTAGTCCAGGTCTCTCTAGTAAGTCTCCATAGGTAACTCATAGTCGTAAGGTCCCCCCGGTGCGGAAACAAGGTGCCCGTGGTAACGAGGTGGCTCCCTTTGTTTTTGGAAGTGCAGGATCTATGGTGTCTACACCTGGGAATCCATCGGCAGGAGCAAGATCGTAAGTCACGACCTGGAAATCTCGCTTCGCGACCACACCTGCTGGGTGAGAACCAGAGTAAGCTATAAAGCCTCCATAGCCCGGCAGATTCCGGGTGCGGGAATCAAAGAGGGAATTCCAAAATGTCGTGCACTCTGCAGCAAGGAGCCATCCTGCACGCATTTTTCTTGGAGCACTCCCCTATGTATCTTCCCCACACAACTGTGCTCAGAAGATCAGAAGTGCTTCTCTGCTGTGATGACGGCGCGCTACCCGCATTGTGGAGAGCGCCACAGCTGCATCAACATCCAGCTTCCGGGCTACCACTACGTATCCGGCAAGCACCTTGGCCATCTCTGTTGATCATGTGCATTCTGTGTGGGGGGGGGGGGCAGCTGTTCCTTCATGCCCTCCCACGGGGCACGGAACATATTCTCGGCCTCAAGAAAGAACAGGTGGTGTTGTTGGTCTTCTAGATGAACATGATGTGTCTCATCAAGGTGAAGCGCAAGGAGAGACGGACAGTGAAGGACAGAGCAGGAGCAGCTGTGGCTCAAAGGGAACCCACCCTTGCCTGAGCCTATGAAGGACGACGACACTAAAGAAACAAAGAAAGAACAGACGAGAGAGACAGACAGAGAGGAAGAAGAGCGAAAGAGAAGTCTTTAGCATTTGTTGGCTCAAGTCGGTTGCCGAATTGCTACAGAGACACGATTCAGCGAGGAAGTTCGGAAGAACGGGCAGGGAGTGTATTTGGTGGAGTGTCGAGTAGGGGCGGGCCCCAACTATGACCCGAATCACGATCCAAACACCTCCTGACGCGGGGGCAGGGGCAGGGTTTGCGTCACTGGCCCACTCTCGGGGACAAGCATGCCATCCAAGTTGTGAGGCGGCCGGTAGTGAAGGCATGTTCTTGCATGCCGAAAAATGTCGATCGGATTACTGGACAAACTCGGATACTTTCCCGTGAAAGTCCCACATGGGGAGCTGGCCCTCCCAACGACTAGGTTGTGAAGAAGGGCGCGCGACCACTACAGGGCGCTTCGGCCAGAAGACAACCCAACCTGCAAGTACCCGCGTCCGAGGACGATTCACATTGATCCGGGGGGGGGGGGGGGGGGGCCTAGCCTGCTTGCACTACAAGCATGATGTCCTTCGTAGATTTCAACTGATACTTCTGGGGAAAAAATTGGAGAACAAGCGGTAAGCTTCCCTTTGGAAGTTCAGTCGAAGGCCCTTTTGTGTTGTAAGGCTTTAGTTTTGTTTGGCCGGTTTCTCAGAGTGCTTGTGTTTGAGTTGAGTAACTACGTCGCTTCGGATTGTTGGGGGAGGCGGAGGAACCATTGCCGAGCATCCCTTGTAGAATCAAACCGTCGAGTGACTTATATACTTACCATCGGGGTTGAACTAAGAACTGCAACTGCATCGTTGCATCGCGGAGGGGCAGGGCTCCACCTCCACTGCTTGAAGCATGCAAATAAGAACAAGAACCAGACTTGGAGGGAGACCCCTGGAGAGGGGGTAGGAGACACGAATAGGAGTGATTATGACAGAGAACAAGGAAGAAAAGATTGCATTTCCATAAAGAGGGGAAGGAAAAAAGGCGGGAAACGACAGCAAGAAGGAGCGGTTCCAAAATGAAAATTGGGCATCTGCGGATTTGGAGGAGTGGAGTGGAGGACAACCGCACATTTTGTACCCTGGAGATAAACACCGTCTATGTGACGTACTCTGGCAGTACCTTACGACAGCAGACGACAGAACAAACTCAGTGAAGGCACCACTGTGTGTAGTGCTTCCCTTGCATTGAGACACGGTTCCAAACGAGGATCCACACTTTGTTTGTTTTCTGTTGATTTGTCGAGCCTCGGAGTGCATTTTGAACTCCCAAAGAAACAGCGAGTGATGGGTTTAGGGCCTCTAGGGTTGTGGGTTTAGGGTTTGGGATTTTCTCCGCACTCCCTTGCATGGGCCTTGTTTCTCATAATCCTGTTCCTCCACGAGATCGAAATCCGCACGACCATCCTAACGATTTTTGGGGGTCTGTTCGGGCACGCTCTCTCTATGACACACTCGCATATCTTGGATCTTCGTATCGTTCAAAAAAACTACGCAGTTTGTCATGCACATGGCTTGTCCTGGGTTTCGTCATTGACTTCGATATTACGAAGGCATTTTGCAGTAGCATGTACACATTCAACTCGTGCACAAGCCGTGCCTCAAAGATCACGGGAAAGGCATGGCCCTAGCACAGGAACTCGCCTGACTAGCAAGTTTGCAATCGACAGGTTTCCCTCCTGTGCACGATTCGACAGTTTCGCATCCTGACTGCCGGTCCGTTGGTCGTTCTGCTTCTGGATGTGTATTCGCAGTTTTTACTGGCAGCACTCAACCCTAAACCCTAAACCATTTCTGCAACGATTGGCAGGTATTGTCCCAGAGGCGAGAACGTGGCCAAAATCGGCCAGGGGCCGGTCTACTTCAAGCAGGGCCTGACTGCGCAGGCGGGAAAATCGTCTGGGCTGCGTTTCTATGGCCTTCATGGTGCCATCCCTTCTTGCAGGGACGTGATGCGACGATGAGCAAATACACGCTCAGCAACTACGCGCGAACCAGCAACTGCAACTAAAACGCGCGCAACCAACTGCAATTGCACAGAATCAGCAGCTTAAGCCCCTGCATCAGCAACTACTCTCCCCGCAGCGGCCGCCAAAATTTTCACGTCGGCAACTGAAATTACCGCGTCAGCAACCAAGGCGTCGATTCCAGGCATAGTCCTTGAGAATCCGACACCTCCTTACAGCAATGGCGGTTGATCCCAGGCGCATTTTCTCTTCCCTTCCTGAGGGCGATGGTGGGTTGGTTCCAGGCACAGTTTCTCCGGATTTTTTACCGCTCCTAAAGGCCATGGCAGTCGATGCCCGGAACAGTTCCTCTTAAGGCCACTACGGCTGCTCCCAGACGCAGCTCTTGAAGCTCCGACCTCTCCTTGAGGCGATGACGGTTGATCCGAAGCGCAGTTCCCCTTCAATCCCACCCCTCTTTAAGGCAATGGCGGTTGATCTCAGGCACAGTTGTTCCAATTTGACCCCTCCAAAAAGGCGATGGCGCTAGATTCCAGGCACAGTTCCCGCAAAATGCGACCCCTCTTGAAGGCAGTGTTGGTCGCCGAGTCAGCGCTTTTGGCATGCAAACTACATCGTCATAGGAGGAACAACGGGGCCTGCACTCAACGATGAAGTGTCCACATGAGGGTCGAGCAAATGGCTTGTGTCCAAAAACCATCGCTCTGTGCTCGTGGAAGCAGGTGGAAGGTTTCGCGAAAGTCCTTGGCTTGCGGAAGCCCTTGCGGAATTTTCGTTTTTAGCAATGCACAAGGGGTTTCCGTGACCCGGACAAGGTCCCTGTTGCGAATGCCTATTGATGTCAGCATGGCCTGGGTTAAGTGGATTTCGAAACATCAGTGGTTTTATAACAAATAGGGGTGTCTCCTTCGGGATTTGCTGCCAAAATGCATGCCAGATTGAAGTAAACGTGGCCCGAAACATCAGCGTCCGCGAGGTTTGGTGGATGTTGAACGCTGAGAACAATAAGCTGTGTCCACATTGGGGCTTTGCATCTTGTGATGTGTCTTATTCTTTTGATTTGTGTAGTTCTCTGCATGAGCGTCCACATTGGGGAGATGGTATTTCCACGGCCTGATGTGTGTTAACCCTTACCTTGTAGGACTTGTTCATGGTTGCACGGAAGCACCAAGTGGATGCCATGTGCAACACCCAAGCTTCTACCATCTGTCGCTCCTTTCTCAGACGACTTTAGCGGCCCACAAGAATTCAGGCACAGAGATACAATGAGAACAGGATTTGTTGTGTAATCCTCCTCGTTCTGGGATATTGAAGCATTGGAAGCTCAACGCTTCGACGGGCGCTTACTGTACACATCTTTTTCCCTTTCTGCTGAGTAGCGTGTGTCTCCTGAAATCCAAGCGAAAAAAGCACGACATCGAGTGAGCGGCGGTGAAAAGGTCATCATAATGATGCACTTGCCTCACGAAGAGATAGATTCAGTACACAAATCATACAGCTGTTAAGGGTTTTTCTCTGCTTGTAACCAGTCGTCGGTGACCGCCCCATTTGAGCGCTCTTATGCTTTGTGCGTGAGGAGTCCTTCTGGTTGACCCGACGGATGCCGTCCTACACCTTCTGCGGGGAAAAAGATTGGGTCATCCTGCAAACAAAAGCGCAGCAGGACAACGCCGAATTAGATTGGGTCCTGTGGTCGAGACATGAGGCGACTTGGTAACGTGCTTGCATAGTGGCGATACTGCTTATAGCATCTTTTTCTCAGCAAAGCATCCCAAAGCAGGGTAGCCCCAAGCTGCAAGCCAGTTACTAACAGGTCCGAAGGTCCTGTAATATCGTGTAGTGCAGAAGAGCCTGTGGCGCCCGTTTCGAGGATGGCGCTTAACATGAAGGAAGAGCAGTGTCGTATCCTGTAGGAAGCATCGAACTCGAACTGACGCTGTAAGAGCTTTGGTCTGGTTTGGAGATGAGACTTCGGCACGCAGTTTGGCCCAGGGCTCGGCACGTGTTGCAGCCCCAGGGGTTTATGACGACTAGACTGACCTCTAGGGACTTCTTGTGTGGCAGTTTGGTCTGGCTTCCGGCACCCTAAACGTTGAGCCCGAAACCCTAAACCCTAAATCCTGCACTCTTCGAAGGACTACGAGAACGAGACGCAAGCCTACGTAGAGTTGCACGGCGACGTCGTGGCTTGCGTCACCGCCAGCAAGGCGGACCTCGCAGCTGGGCCGTAAGATCCTATGCTTACATGAAGTTAGCATATGATTATTGTAGCTTAAGTTAGCATATCACATATTCAGATTATAGTCTGTTATGTTTTGTTATGCTGTATTTTAGATCATACTACAGGGGAGCATGAAGAGTGGGTATCCTGTGCAGCGGAGCTCCTCAAACTAGCCCATACTGGCCCCGCCCTGACTTGCAATACTCTGTGCGCCTGCAGCAAGCCAAGGTATCTGAAGTCTTCGACAATCATGACGACGTCAAGGCTTGAACTTTTGCCCAGACGAGGGAGAGTTCATGGGCAGCGGTTTTCCATGGTCATGCTGTTCTAATTTGTCGACGTGCATGATGGCGTGAGATTGCTCGCAGACTTTGGCCGCTTTGCCTTGCGATGTGTCTCCCTAGTTCCATCAGCGATTGGTTAACAGTGGAACTTGGTAAGGGGAGGGCGTATTTTCCGTTTTTCTATTTTTTCGGGGGGAGGGGGTGGGTCCTTGGGGTGTGGCGGGCACAGGAAGGAAGAAGGGAAGGCAGAAGGGAGGGAAGGAAAGAAGGAAGGAAGGAAGGACTCCCCCCATGACTTGATGTCATGCAGCTATGCCAAACATCGTTTGGCTCAAGAGTTGATGCCTGGAGTAAAATGCTGTACTTGCAGTTTGGATGGAAAGGTGTGTTCAGTGACCTCCTGAAACTTTTCATGGTAGCTCCGTTGTGATATACCATTAGACTTCCAAACTTGCGTCCAAGGGGGTGTGATGAAAATTCATTCTTCCTCTCACCTCATGACTTGATGTCATGCTGCTATGCCATTCACGGTTTAGCTCAAGACCTTCACGACTTACTTGCAGCTTGGATAAGCCTACTTGAAAAGTGTGTTCAAGAACCTGCTGAAACTTTTTAACTCTGCAGTTTCCCCGATGGGTTTTCAACTCTGCAATTTCCCGATGGGGTATCTGGGCTGCCGAACGAATCCTACATACACTTCGATCTGCACATGGTGACACGGGGGCTCTAGACATCCTAAGGCCTACTGGCCCCGAGGGCTCCCTCCTGCAACTTGACGAACGGAATCCTACAACTCACGGTGGCCCCACTAGTTTCACGCCGCATGACAGGGGAGCGACACCGGTAAAGAAAACGTGTTGCCGGCACTCCAACGAGGTGTCCACTCTCAAGCGCCTGCCGAAAGCGCAGCCAGTTGTGATTGTAGCCTTGAGTCCTTGAGCGCTAATCAGCTAATCCCCGACGCCAATCTCGACTTCCAGGTGACCGTCAACTACACCCGGCTCAGCTACAGTAAGAAGCGTGGCTTTGTTTCTTGGAAAGGAAGCATAACAACACCTGTGACAAATTGGCTTTTGGCTTGCCAGGGCTGCATAAACTGCCCCAGGGCTTGACCCATGTTCGGGTATTCTGGATTCTGCGGTGGTAAGGCTGGGCAGAAGATCCAGATTAATCCTGCTTGGTGGGTGCAGTACGAGCTGCAAAACACCACCGCTGCCAGAACTGCCCTGGCACCAGTTTCGATATTTTCCGTCTATTGCTGCCCGCAGCGATTCTTACGCTTGGCCATTACCAACTTTCGGTTCTTTCGGAGGGGACATGTGGATAACACCAGCGACTAGCCACGAAGGGGCATCATCTACATGTAAGCCCCACACAAGGCTCCTCTGAGTCTCAAGACACCAGTAGTGTGAGCGCTCCTTTTTCTGGATCACGAGAAATCAGCAGTTGGAAATTAGATCCCTGAACATGAAGTACGCCCTGAATCTTCGACTCAGGTCGACGGCCATGCCAAGGTTGCAGTGCCCAGCTGCCCAGCCCCGAACGTGACAACGAAGTCTGAAGAAGGTGGCTTGGGAAACCTGTGCGCTAGTGGCTAGAGGCACTGGGATCTCTCGTAATCAGCAAGAGCAGACAGACTTCCTCTTGCAATCAAGGGCCACACAGTTTCGGGGGTGCTTTGAATGTCCGTCTTGTATACATGTATACGATATAGACGAGATGGTTGCCACCAAACGACCGAAGGGTTCGTTTGTGCTAGGCAGGCAAGTGAGCAAGCAAGCATTCTGTTCGACAGGTAGACCATCGGGTTAGTCTCATCGAAAACTCATCAGATTGCTGATGTGTGAGATCTCGCGTTCTAGAGTCTTGTGCCCGGGAGCCTCTGAACACTTGCAGGAGAAACCAAGGAAGAGAAGCAGGAGCCCCTTGTGCAGGCTCTTGCCACTGGGGCTCAAGAGGGCGGCAAAGCAATGTTAGAGAAGAGCGATGCGTATTGCAAGGCATCGGAGGGCCTTGACCGCTACCACATAGCACGCTCAATAATTCTTACGTATTGTACATGACAGATTACAGGGGTTTGAAGCTGTTGCCTGGTCTCTGAGGTATTGGACGATCCAGCCACGGACACGGAGGATGACTATTGGCTTCACCCGTGCCATTGCCTTCCTCACGCATGGGGCGCCAACCCACCAGCAGCTGGTCAGGGGCTCATGTGGAATGGAGAGGCTGCCGTGAATGTGGCCTCGAAGTACGGAAGGCATCGATTGTCTCATGGAGAGAGAGGGGATATAGAAATCCCATGTACGTTCCTTGTGGTTGTTGGCAAGAATCTGTGTACTCAATCTCTGCAGCAAGAGATAGTCAAGCACTTCAGGCTCGCTTGTTGCGGCTGCGATCACAATCACTCTGAGATATGGGAAGTGCATGCGCCAGAGTTGCTTCAAGTAGTGGAAGCAGTCAAAACTTAGTGAAAACTGAAGATGTCCGGCAAGCCAGGCATGCTGGAAGCTGCCACCTTTGCCCGGCTGAGGTGATACTCTGGCAGCCATTCCCAGCGGAAGCAATAACGAGTTTGATCCACCTCCCCAGATGATCGTCTCCTCCTCAGACAACATTAGCACTTGACTGCTGGAGTGAGGCCAGAGCTGGACAGGCTTGTGTGGCCCTAGGTGTATCCGCCAAAAGAAGTCATGTTCGTTTATCTGTGGTTGTCTTAGTGCAGCTTTGTTCTTCTCGCTCCTGCTATATGGATCCCTGGATTTGGGTAGATACAGTACGTGCTTGCACTGACACACCTGTCGCTCGTGTCGCTGGAGGGAAGTCTCAGTCGGCGCTGCTCTGCGAATTTCTGACATGAGTAGATCAAGCTTTCAAAAGAGCACAGCTAGGATTTAGATTAACATGTGTGTTCTTTTGCAGCCCTCGTGCTTTTCAGCTGGAGGTCGAAGGGTCTTTCACCTGTCGAATGGAGTGCCTTGGCAGGCGGTTCTTGCCCACGCTTCACGATTTTGATGCCATTATTGCACCAGCGAGATGTCCGAACGATCCTACTGGAATCGTAGCAGATTGTGGGAAGTAGGGTTTCGGTTACACTTGTGGCAGGTTGTTTCTTGCCGGAGCTTCCCCGAAACGTCAGTACACTTTTGAACCCAGAGAAATGGATAAGTGGGCATTACCTGCAACAGAAGGCTTTGTTCTATCCATTGCTTGATCGGTGTTTGTCAAGGCCATATGTCCCGGTCGTTCTTCCTCGCTAAACATGCATGAACAAAGTGCTTTCACCGTATACAATGTTTGGGCCAACCTTGCATAGTCAGTTTCCATATTGAAGTTTAAGCCTGCGGCAAGCTCGACCACTCGGCAAGAGATAGGGATGTGCTTCTGTGCTTGAGATTTCAGCAGATATCTAAGCATCCATGCACACAGCCGACCAAGGCATTTGCTGACAATTGTCACCGAGACGCCGGATGAGGTATTTGGTCCAGAAAGTAGGTGAAATGTTCGGTCCCACCGCCAGTGCACGATTGCAATTGGAGGAAGCTCACTGTTTGTAATCTCCTTCAGCCGCGCAGAGCTTTCTTGTCAGACCAATGCAAGGAGGGAGGCATTGGCACATATTCGTTTGCCACGGATTCCTGTAGTAAACACGAGAGAGCATGCCAGTGCCCCAGGGCGAAGGGCGTGTGTTGCATGTCCCTGGGCCTCATCACGAGATCTTGTGGCCAGTTGCCAACGCCTGCGAGTCGCCTCAAGCATTGGGCCTTTGCGAAGCGCTCTAACTCTTAACTCTTAACGCCGTTAGCTACGGCCCTCGCTGCGCATGTACGACGTGACGCTCACATTAAAAGCTTCCAGGCTGACGAGGTGCAGCAGTACTGCGCTCAACAGAGAGCGTGTCTCTACGGGGGTTCGCCCTCAAGCCCTGCGAAAGAAAGATACAGAGACAGAGACTGAGACAAAGACAGAGACAGAGACAGGTGTGGCTTGTGGATGAAGGACTGCGACTTCAGCTGGAGCTGAGCCGGAAGGGCCCAATCTCCCCCAAAAAGAAGATAAAAGTGAGTGACGGAGAGGGGCGGGGTACCATGTTCCTTTCAAGCCAGCAACCCTTAAGTTAACCCTTAAGCCCTTAAGCTGTGACCAGGTTTGGGACATTTCGGGCTGCAAGCCCATGTGCGAACTACTTCCTGCTTGCAAATTCTACTGGGAAGGCCGGGGCCGAGTGGTGAGAGTGCTCTACATCGCTCTGAGGATTGGGAACCCCGAACTCGAACTGTTCGGGTTCGAGTTCGACCCGAATCCAAATCCGAGGTCCCGAACTCGCACTGGAACTCAGCCCCCCCTCCCTCGGCTACATTGGCTCCTGCCTCCTCGACCTCGAACTTGAATCCGACATTCAATCGAACCCTCCGGTGCTGGTGGTGGTGGTGGTGGTGGTGGCGGTACTGGTGGTGGTGGTAGTGGTAGTGGCCGTGGTCGTGGTAGTTGTCGTGGTGGTAGTCGTGGTAGTTGCGGTAGTGGTAGTGAAAGTGATAATGGTACTGGTAGTGGCAGTGGTAGTGGTAGTGGTCTCCTGCCTACACTTTTCCATTTACAAGAGGTTCTGCAGCACACAGACATTCATGGAGCAGCTCAACATTGCTCGACTTCAGAGCCTGGTTGCTATGCAAGAAGTATGGGTGCTGAGGCCTGTTTTTGTGCCTCGAGCAGCTTCCCCGGGATGATGCATTCAGAGATCGCTGCAACCTTTTTAAGTACAGCTTATGATTTCGGCTTTGGGCTGTTGGGTGTCGGCGGGAAGGCAGCAAAACTCTAAACCCGAAACCCTAAACCCTAAACCCTAAAGCCTGTCCGTGACCAGCCTGTGTGTGGGCAAACCACCCGGTTGGGGCGTCGTAGTAGTAGTAGTAGTAGTAGTAGTAGTAGTAGTAGTAGTAGTAGTAGTAGTAGTAGTAGTAGTTAGTAGTTAGTAGTTAGTAGTTAGTAGTTAGTAGTTAGTAGTTAGTAGTTAGTAGTTAGTAGGTAGTAGTAGTAGTAGTAGTAGTAGTAGTAGTAGTAGTAGTAGTAGTAGTAGTAGTAGTAGTAGTATTAGTATTAGTAGTAGTAGTAGTAGTAGTAGTAGTAGTAGTAGTAGTAGTAGTAGTAGTAGTAGTAGTAGTAGTAGTAGTAGTAGTAGTAGTAGTATTAGTAGTAGTAGTAGTAGTAGTAGTAGTAGTAGTAGTAGTAGTAGTAGTAGTAGTAGTAGTAGTAGTAGTAGTAGTAGTAGTAGTAGTAGTAGTAGTAGTAGTAGCACTCCGGCTCAGACAGGTCCCAGCAGAGGGACCCCACATTTTTCTTTAGAAGTGATTGCATCCATGCCATGGAACTGTCAGCATGCGACACAAACCCTGCGTGCGAAGCCGTTTGCACCATTGTGGTACCTGAGGCTACCGCTATTGGTAACTGCATGGCTGATCCACCATCAGAGTCTGGTGCTCTCGAACTATGCACAAATGCCGAGCCTTTGGGTGCCGCATGGCCCCACACTAAGGTACATGGTCTCAACAAGTGCCCTGCGTGGATCGGAGTCGCAGCTGACCCATGCCCTGCACCTGCAACACAGTGCACTCAGCTGGATGCCCGGCCCATGTCGGTCGGAGAACGCACGCGTAAGCCTAAACGTAATCGCATCTCCGCACTCTGCAGTGAGCTGGCGCGATTGTCCCTGCAAAGCGCCCAAGAGACACATGATCGACAGTGGGACACACAGCACCCTTATGTTCCGAAATGCAGCAAGCTCCCAGTGGATTTGCATGCCATGGACTAAGAAGTGTGGTCTGGCCCCTAGTGCTGCAACGCGTTTTCGACCCATCATGCATCCGCAAGTTTCATCGTTTGCACCGTTGCCTGTGAACGGACAATGCCCCCAAAACCCTCAAAGCTACTCCATGCACCATAAGCCCTGCCTCATCAGCGTGCTTCCCAGGTGTGATCGGACACGAATCCCTCCCTCATGCAGCTCGGACTCCACAGGACTGCTATCGTGCTTTAGCGCCGCTTCTCAGTCCTATGGCCTGCTTTGCAAGTCTGCTGTGTGTACACAGGGTGAGAGTGTGCAACCACAAGTGCTGTGGCCACAGGGTGACAGTGCTCTTACCTGTCCCCTTGCAATACACTTTGCACGCGCAGCTAGCACGATGCCCGAGACACCCCAGCAAGAAGGGGAGAAGCAGCCCCGATCTCGCTATCGCGCTGATGGCCGGCGTCGCCGTACTGCTGGGGAGCTGAGGACGCGGGCCCCCTATGTGCAATTCTGGAAAGATGTCCAGGCGAGACAGAGGCAACGAGATGCACATGCAGAAGATGCGGCCCCGAGGCGTCACCACGCTCAGCACTACCGCATACACACTGACGATGGCCAAGAGTCGCAGCATGATGAGATGAATGGGCAGCCCTCCTCCTCCGGAGGCCCCAGTCGGGCATGAAGAGCATCCAGAGGCTCAAGGGAGACCAGAGATGGCCCCTGGAGGGAATGGAGCCACAACGAGGAGGATTGGTGGTACTGGCCAGAAGAATGGGATGCTGATGTCGGGGCGGCAGATGATCCAAGGAGCTGGCGCCACACACGACGCCGACCAGCCACGTCAGGCAGTGACACCCATGAGGACGCTACCCTTGAGCCCTCCGCTGCACACCAGCAGCGCAAGCCGCGGAAATCTCCGTCCTACCAGGTCAGCAAGAGATCACGCAGCACACAGGTGAGCGATGAGTTTGTGAAGAGGCAGACCGAGGCAGCGCCGAGTCAAGCGGCCCCTCCGGAGGAGCCTTGTGCGGATCAAATGGCCAGGCTAAGCAAGGTCGTCGACTTGCTAGAGCAGCTCGCCCATGCTGGCCTTCCTACGCTCATGAACGCCTTTTACAGATCAGGTGACTTCACCAAGCACCACGACACCTTCCATGGTGATCCATCGACAGCCAGCTTTCCGCGAGTAGGGAACTGGAACTTAGCGCTGACGGGATCCCTCCTGTGTCCACCAGTACGCGCAATCTACAAGGACGTCTCCAACTTCGGTTCCTTTATGGAATCGTTCACGGTGTGCAACGCAAAGAAGCAACCACGCCCATCGTGGTACCAGCACTACCAGCTTCTCGTGACCCTGATTGCAGCGATGACTGACACATGCACCCCGGACACGTACGACGCGCTCAAGGTGAACTCCAACCCTGCGGAATTCATCCATGTCTTCCGGCAAAAGGTGAAGCGGGTACCGGCTTGAGTCACCTCCTACATGCTGATCCTGCGGAAGACGCCCCACTATCTGTCCTACCGCTCCAGACTGTGGGCACTCCACAGGAGGACAGCGCCATCGACCACGAGACGGAGAGCTCCTCTGATGATGTGCAGGTAGTCGCACCTAGGGAGCCTGCCCAGTGCACGGAGGCCCCTCGTCCCTCTCAGGCATCTACGGACCACAAACTCATCGGTGATCATCAGGTGCGACAGCCGCCACAACCGCCATCAAAATCGGCTACAGAGGAGACAGGGACCAAGCACTGGATGCGTGCAAACGGCACCCCAGCTCGTGTACGCGGGGAACGAGCCAAGGAGATTTCCAAAGCCCTCACGCAGATCCTTCGACATGCGGCGCCCCGAATTGGACTGCATATCCAAGAAGACGGCTACGTCGCTATGGGAGACCTTTTGCAGGCCCCACGTCTCTGGAACCAATGGATCACTGAGGCGGAGATCGTCGACGTAATCCACTACAACCAGAAGAATAGGTTCGAGATCTCCCACCGCGACGGCGCCTACCTGGTGCGTGCCCGACAAGGCCACTCCATTGACCACATCCAGAACGAGCTGATCCTCACTCGCCTCACGGTCGATGACACCCCTGAATTCGTTGCCCACGGGACATACTACGACTTCTACGAGAGCATTGTACGTTACGGGCCGGAGGCAGGCAAGGACAATCCTTCCGCCGTCATGTACATCTGGTTGAGCAGCTCCCAGGATCGGATGTCGTGTCGGGCATGCGCAGCGACTGTGATTTGGTGCTCTGGATTAGCGCGCAAAGTGCTGCGGTCTCTGGCATCACCTTCTACAGGTCGGCGAATGATGTCATCCTTACGGAAGCCACCATCGACCCGGCTTTCTTCCACAGTGTTCAGATCATGCGGAGCCTAGAGGTGTTGACCGCCGATGGCGGTCCACCACACCCGCAACAGGTTGCACTGGCGATTTCACGCGCCTCCTCGCGCGACGCACAGCGCCACGGGCAATACATGAGGGTTGTGTGTGCTCATGCCACTGTGCCCCACCGCTTGAAATCCCTGCATGCCTCCAACACTCACGCACCTGTACTGCTGACACGCAGGACAGGCGGCTTGCCGCTGGGAAGCCGAGGCACCCCTCTGTTCAGAATACTCTGGAGAGACTGCCGCCTGCCCAATAGACTACGCAAAATCCGGATTGGCTGCACAGTCAAAAAACGCAGGCGCAGATGCGCCAGAGGTCTCCGCCGCGGACCTAAGTGCATCACCTGCATCCTCCGCAGTATTGGCCGTGTGCTCGGGCAAGGTATCCATTGTCTTTACTGTCTGTATTCTGAATTTGGGGTGGGTTGGCGTAATACAGGGAATAAACCAGGGCTCAATGCCACTAATATGCTGTTCAGCCATGCGCAAAGGACCAGGGTGTGCAGGCGACTGCCCCCTCCTACTGGGAGCGGTGTATCACACCGCCCCAACGAGAACAATCACTTCACCCCAAGCAGCCGGCCCGGTCCCAAGTCCGGGGTGGGGAGCTGTTTCACTGTCCTGATTATGATGATTCAAGCACAGCTCACCCACAGTGTGAGGGTTCCAGCTCTCTCCGCTGGAGCTGGGGAAGGCAACCCGTATGCACATTTAAGCTCTCGCCATGCGCCGAAGCCAAGCGGGATACAGGTCGTATATGGGAAGCAGGATCCTACTCACGATTGGAATAGATATGTCAAGAGATCTTTTAAGAGAGCATGCCGTCAGGCCATTACACACGGACGCGCCACATACAAAGGTCGCACACTCACTGTTCAAACCTCTCCTTCCGAGCAACCACACACTGTTATGCAAGCCAAGCAACACACTCCTGTCCCACCCCAGCGCCACTTGAAGGTATACTGTCACAATGTCGGGGGCCTTGGTTCGGGGATGTACGAGGATTTGATGGGGTTCCTGGATCAATCTCACTATGACATCGTGCTCGTGCAAGAGACCAAACTTAGAGAAGCTAGCGAGTACACCACTGCTCGCTGGATATGCGTTGGCTCTGGCACCACTGCTCAGAAACATGCCGGAGTTATGATCCTTGTTCGGAAATCACTCACTAATGTGCAGGAGGTCAGACATGATGCTGTGATCCCAGGTCGACTACTTCGAGTGCGATTCCCCCTGGGAACCACTGGCCGCTTACTCAGTGTAGTATGCGCCTATCAGCATGCTTGGAACCCCAAAGACCCTACAATCCTCGACAAGCGTAGTGATTTTTGGCATAAACTTAGCCATTGCATAGGAGGGATTCCCTACCGTGAAGCTCTGGTCGTTGGAGGCGATCTGAATGTCCAACTTACTCCCAAACGCCCTTGTGTTGGACATGGTACGGGTGCCCTCTCCCCTGAACGGGCCCCGGACGCTGATGCCTTGCACACGTTGCTCTCCACACACACCCTCGTCGCGCTTAACACTTGGGGAAAGCCTGGCAAAGGAGCACACACGTTTACGTTTGGGAAGCATCAAGCACAGTTAGATTATCTCCTCATGCGCGCCAGCCAAACTACGAGAATGGCAAGACAGGCACGCCCGCTGCACACGTGCCCTGTTGGTGGGTGGCGTCACGGAGGGGGATTCACACGCCCATTGTTGCTTCGCTCCCCTTCTTCTATCACGTGTACCATAAGCCAACTGAGCTTAAGCCGAAAGTCGACGTAACGCAAATCGTGCGGCTCGCACAGGCTAAAGACCCACACAGTGACCCCGCTGTTGCCCGATTCAGGTCCGAAGTTCAAGAGCAACTCGCTGCTGTGAATACCGTGTCCGATGCGGGTAATATATCCCAAATTGTGTGCCACGTAGCGGCAAAATACTTCCCTCAAGAAACGCCACATACTGACAAACTTGCCAGATGGCAAGAGCCGCATATCAAACAGGGAATTAAGGATATGTGGAGGGCCTGGAGGAAGTACCGTAGCTGTAACAAGGACACCACCCTGAAAGCGGCCATTGGACGTTGGAAGACATGGGCACAGTACAACAAGCTGTACAAAAAGCACAAAGAGCACTGCCGAACCGCAAAAAAAGACTACCTGCTCCAACAGATGAGCACTGCGGAACAGGCCGCGCAAAGCCATAACCAGCGCCTCTTGTATCAGGTTGTACGCGCTCTCGCGCCTAAAGCCAAGCGCCACAGACCTCAGCTGCGTGACTCCACAGGACAAATGATGACGCGTAGTGAAGAAGCGGCGTGCTTTCACCGTCACTTCACTGCCAAATTCACAGCTGCTGCTGAAGCACTCACGCAGCTAGAGACAACCACTCGGTTGTTGCACGAACGTCAGGGGGAGCCCTGTGAAGGCCCCACGCTGCAGCCGACGGTGCTCGCCAGGCACTTGCAACACGCTCCGCTCAGGAAAGCCGTCCCCCCAGGTCACCCACCCAGTGCCATCTGGCGCCTTTGCTCAGACATTATTGCGACAAGGGTCTGCCATGTGCTTAATACCAACTGGACCCCACAGCCTAACCGCGTGCCCCGGACCTGGTCCGACGCACACCTGGTCCTTATCCGTAAGCCAGCCAAAACCGGTAAGGAAGAGGGACACTATCGCCCGATAGGCCTTCAAGACCAGCTAGGCAAACTCACCTTCAAAGCACTAGTCGAACCCTATCAGGCAGACATACACCGCATCGCCGCACAATTCCCCCAATACGGCTACATGCCAGGCAGGTCCCACCGCGATGCCTTGCGCAGGGTGTTCGACCACTGCGCGCACATCAGGGCCAAGTGCCGCGCCCACCACTGCACACTGCATGACCGATTTGAAGGCAAGGCTGCCACGGCCTTGATCGGCGGCCTGCAGGTCACACTCGACCTCGCGGGAGCATTTGATGCCATGCCCCGACATCGCCTCCTGGAAGGAATGGAGCACATGAACTTGCCGCTCTCCTTCATACAGATTGTCATGTGTTGGCACCATCAAGCCCGCTACCATATCAACCATGATGGCACGGATCGGGTTGTCCACGCTACACAGGGCGTGCGACAGGGTTGTGCGGTTGCACCCCTTCTCTGGCTCATTTTCTCGCACCTTATCAGTGAAAAACTTGCGGCCAAGATCGGCTACCACGCCACAGTCAATCTCCTCAGCATCTTCGCTGACGACTACCATTGTTCGGGTGAGTTCAGCTCGACGTACGAACTGGAGGTCATTTTGTCGCACGTAGCCGTGCTCCTCCATACACTGGCGGATATGGGAATGACGGTTAGCCCTGCGAAAAGCAAGGCCATACTCAAATGCGCAGGTCCGGGGGCTGAACAGCTTAGGAGACGGTTCACACGCAAAACGGCCCAGGGGAAAGTCCTTCGTATCTACAGTGCACAAGCATGTATCGACGTCCCGCTTGTTGATTCATTCATGTACTTGGGAGCGATTGTCAGCTATGATCACTATGAGGATAGAACACTTGCGCACCGCTTAGAGGTTGGGTCTAACAATTTTGGCAGACTCACGCGTGTACTCCCAGGCAGACATGCCCTGACGCGACAACACAAACTCCGTATCTGGCAGGCGTGTGTCTATACCGCCACTGTCTACGGGCTTGATGCCTGTGGACTCACGCCCCTTGGCGCCAAGAAGCTCACAGCGCAGATCCTGAGACAAATTCGACTCATAGTCAGGGATCCCGTATACATGACGGGTACATCACACCAGCAGGTTTTGACAAAATGGAACCTTCTTTCTCCGATTGAGGCGCTAAGGCACCAACTTCATAAGGAGACAGTTGATCCGGGGACTCCACCGGATATCTTCAAAAAGGGGCCGGATAGCGCAGCTTGGCAAAGAGTCATGAATACCCTACAAGACTTTTCATCCTCTCAGCTTGTCGAAATGCACAATCAGCGTGCCCATGGCCACCCGTGTCCAGAGTGTGGAATATATTTCGCCACACGTACCTCCATGCTCGGCCACATGACACGTAAACATAAAGACCACCCAGCACGCCCTGCCAATCAGCCCACGCGCACTTTCGACAAACGTAGTGACGCGCTGGGAGGGCTGCCTCAATGCAGCCACTGCAAAGTCAAACTCTGTGACTTCTCCAGTCTGCGCAAGCACATTAACGAACAGCGCTGTAAGGTGCTTTACCCCACGAGACGTCCACCCTGCTCGGACACACCCGAAGTGACACCCGAAGTGATACCCCCTAACACAACCGAAGCGTCAGCGGTCAAGGTAAAAGGCCCTAAGCTAGGCCCCACGCCTGAAGCCCCTCACGTCGAGCCCGACCCCTCCCATCCAGCACGCTGCTCAGGTGCCGGACCAACGGACGACTCAGAAACACAGCTGCCCTACTTTCAGAGGACCAGCGTACGAGCCATGCTCACAAAGTATTCTGAAAATGCAGCTTTTCACCTGCAGGATAGACAGTGGCTCCGCCACTACTGTGCCCTGTGCTCCCAGTGGATTGTGTGCTCAAGTAAGGTGAAGCAGCACTATAGGCTCTCGCACCCCACTGACCATGCACAGTACCTGCAATCGGCGAGCCGTTTGTGCTCCAAGTTCAATACCCCGGGCTCACCGTGTGAGCACTGCAGTGCGGTCACCAAGGCCCCCAGGCAGCACCCTGCCAAATGCACTGTCTTGTGGCAAGTCTGCCTTATGCATCTTAAACTGCGTAGCGACAGGACTGGCGATGGAGGAGCTTCAGCAAGTCTTCGGCCCGCTGATGAAGGACCAGCTGGATCTCATGGAGTGGGCACCGACGATGAAGAGGGAAGCCGAACCGGAATCGGCCCCTGCAGAGCGAGGCAAGGTCCCCAAGACAGAGCAGGGCAAAGGGCGCCCGCGTCAGCCGGCCCCTCCAAGCAAACAACACTGGCGCAAAGGTGGGGGCAAGGGGCGTGGTCACGAAACCCCCAACCTGACCTACTTGATCAAAGCGCTAGCCAGACTAGCGCTGCAACAGGAGACGGCGCTCAAGATCCTACGCCAGGACTACAGCTGGGTGCTCTTCATTCAACCGGGCAGTCAGGGGCCGCTCCCCCTCCTCTTTGCAGCGGCACAAAAATGGAAGAAGTCCCAGGAGGAGGGAACAACGACCAGTACACTACGCACCACTCTGTTCGGTTGTCTGATCACGATGCTGCACGCAAGCCTGAAGGACATCGGAGGAGTGACGCAGACACCCTTCCAGAAGAAGGCGGAGGACAACAAATGGCTACAGGAAGGCCATTGGTGCTACCAGAAGTGGTCGCCGGCGTTGGGGAGCCTGGTGGTCGACGAGGGGAGGCCCCCGCTTCCACACGCGAAGCTAGTGGAAGCACTACAACTCCTTCTACCCATCATCATGCAGCCCTACATGATACACAGATTCCACGCCACACGTCCCCTAGCAGACACAATGACAGGGGTCACGGCTTTTCAGCTGGACATCTCCAATCGCACGAAGGGCCACCCAACAGTATGGGAGACACTGGAGGCATTGACCGGCCTGTCGGCCATGCAGGTCATCGGCCTCCAACTACGGAGGGACACGCTCAAGCAGTCACCGGCTGCCGCGCTTGTCCAACAGACGCTGGCCGAATACTACTAATAAGGCTCCTTAACAGCAGCAATACATGCTATCTTAATGCAAGCGTACGTGCCTGGCTGTTTGCGGTTAGCCACCTACAGGTTGCGGACATCCTCAAGTATGGTGCTCAGGAACAGGCGTGGAGGGATGTGTATCATGCGCGTAGGCCCATTCACGTTCACGCACTGCGCTCCTGGCGGCCCTTGCTGTGCAATTGGGCTAACCTCCACCAGCAACATGACGCTTGTGAGTTCCTAGAACACCTCCTAGGAGCTGGACGACCCCAAGTTCTCCACGGCAAGTGGGAATCGCGCATTGTTAGTGAGGTTGAGGGCACCGAGACCAGAGGACAGCACAACACACAGCGATCCATTACCCTTGACCTGGCGGACCCTTATGCCACCACTAACCTCCAAGCACTGGTTGACCATTGGCACACAGGAGGCACGTACGTACAGGCTTGTACGCATCCCCCGCGCATCCTGCTTCTGCGCATCTCGCGCTTCTTGGACACAGACGCTGGTGAGACGGTCAAATTGCACACCAGGGTCACCATTCCCACTGCAGTCCAGATCCCATGCTACTGTGACCCACATCAGGGGGCTGCTTGTACGCATGTCACATACTTAATCACGGCGTGTGTGCTGCATCGAGGGTCTACTGTACACGGGGGACATTACACTACCCGCTTTCTCAATCACCTCCCCCAAAGGGTCGCACCTCAAGCACCCCCGCAATGGCATGCAGATGACAGCAAGCCCATTGAGCATGTCAATCTAGCTGTCACGCATGACTCAGTACTCAGCCAACAGTGCTACCTTGTCCTGCTCTGCAGGACAACGCTTTGATGACTTGAGCGCAGTGGGGTAGCCGCCTGTGGGGGACACATAGGCAGCCTGTGCTTACAAAAAACCCTGTCACGTGCCTGCGGCTACCTGACAAACACCCACGCTCACGTGTGCATGCACCCTGTTGCAGGTACCTGAGCAACACGCTGCGCAGTGAGCCTGTTGGGCCACTATACTGAAAATGCGTTAATTCGTTGCCAATTCACGAGGAGCTGAGCCGTCGCCCTGCGACACAAAAGTGACAGTGACTGTTGATGAATGCCAGATCACACCTTCCCCGCCTAAGTGCCCCATTAGTCTCCACATTCCCAAAGCGTCCCCCACCTGTGCAATAGGGCTCGAGCTAGGCACCATATACAGCAAATGTTGCCTGCACACACCTCGGACTATGCAATGGGTGAGGCCAGCGGCTTCATACCAACACCACATGAACACGAGGTAAGGATCCCGTATTCGCTGGAGATTGATGAAAAAATCCCAGAGGGCATGCCATACCCACGGCACATAGCTGAGCAAATTGCGGCCGATATGATTGCCTGTGGGCAGGTGCGCATGAGTGCATGGAAGCTACTCTGTGACAGTCTGCCAAGGGGCGACCTGCGCAGTGAGGCGCATGCCGACCTACCCGGCAGTATGTGCTTTATGAGTGGAGCCTACTCACAGGGCCCGCTACATGGGCTTCGAAGTTCCCATGGGTTACCCTAATGGTGTGTAAGTACATCCGCTCCTGCACCCGGGTACCCTTCACCAGCTTTGTGCTTCAGCGAAATACGTTCATGCATGCACATAGGGATATGAACAACGCCGCACAAAGTGTCAATGCAGTGCTACCCTGCTCGGCCTTCACAGGTGGAGGGGTATGGGTATGCGATCCGGACGGCAGCCATGCGTGTATGGACGGTACCATGCAGGGCACCGTGCAAAATCTCACACTGCCAGGAGTCACCTTTGACCCTCAACAATGGCACGAGACTTGCCCCTGGACAGGAGATCGCATCACGATTGCAATCTTCACGGTCAGGGCAGTGGATGAGCTGAACCCTGCACATGTCGATACGCTTCGGAGACTGGAGTTTGCATTCCCCACTCCACCTGCATCACCTGCACCACCTACATCACCTGCAACCGACCCTGACCTTGACAGTGAGTGAGAGGCTAGTGAGCCATCGTTGGCCACTCTGGACCGACAGTGTGCCCGGCTGGGCCACTTGTACATACACCACATGCCGTCCTGTGTAACGCACTTCCATGTCTTGTACATACCAGGTGACGAGGATCACACTACTGGCCGCGACAATGTGCCGATACTGTTTGTTCACTGCCGCCGGCATTGAATGCTGAAGCAGTTTTTGTTTGTGCCACTGTGCACTCTGTGCCACTGTGCACCCTTCTCTTGACAGGTTGAGTAGGACGCAAGTTTGCAGCTATTCGTAGCGGGACTTGCCCATTATGGTTCTAGTGCTCAAGAAGCACCGGTGCAATGCACTGCCATGTACCTGACGCTAAGCTGAGTGACCGGCTGCGATTGGAATGAAAATAGTAGTAGTAGTAGTAGTAGTAGTAGTAGTAGTAGTAGTAGTAGTAGTAGTAGTAGTAGTAGTAGTAGTAGTAGTAGTAGTAGCAGCAGTAGTCGTACTAGTAGTAGCAGTAGTAGGAGAAGGAGTAGGGAGTAAGGAGTAGGAGTAGGAGTAGGAGGAGGAGGAGGAGGAGGAGCAGGAGCAGGAGCAGGAGCAGGAGCAGGAGCAGGAGGTAGGGGTAGGAGTAGGAGTAGGAGTCGGAGTCGGAGTCGGAGTGGGAGTAGTAGTAGTAGTAGTAGTAGTAGTAGTAGTAGTAGTAGTAGTAGTAGTAGTAGTAGTAGTAGTAGTAGTAGTAGTAGTAGTAGTAGCAGTAGTAGTAGTAGTAGTAGTAGTAGTAGTAGTAGTAGTAGTAGTAGTAGTAGTAGTAGTAGTAGTAGTAGTAGTAGTAGTAGTAGTGGTGGTCGTCGTAGTAGTAGTAGTAGTAGGAGTAGTAGGAGTAGTAGGAGTAGTAGGAGTAGTAGGAGTAGTAGCAGCAGTAGCAGTAGTAGCAGTAGTAGCAGTAGTAGCAGTAGTATTAGTAGCAGTAGCAGTAGCAGTTGCAGTAGTAGTAGTCGTAGTAGTAGTAGTAGGAGGAAAAGAAGTAGTAGTAGTAGTAGTAGTAGCAGTAGTAGTAGTAGTAGTAGTAGTAGTAGTAGTAGTAGTAGTAGTAGTAGTAGTAGTAGTAGAGTAGTAGTAGTAGTAGTAGTAGTAGTAGTAGTAGTAGTAGTAGTAGTAGTAGTAGTAGTAGTAGTAGTAGTAGTAGTAGTAGTAGTAGTAGAAGTAGTCGTAGTGGTAGTGGTAGTGGTAGTGGCAGTGGCAGTGGCAGTGGCAGTGGCAGTGGCAGTGGCAGTGGCAGTGGTGGTAGTTAGTCGTCGTGGTGGTGGTTGATGGTGGTACTTAAATAATAGTAGAAAGTAGTGAGGAGTATGCAGTAAGGAGTAAGGAGTAAGGAGTAAGGAGTAAGGAGTAAGGAGTAAGGAGTAAGGAGTAAGGAGTAAGGAGTAAGGAGTAAGGAGTAAGGAGTAAGCAGTAAGGAGTCGCAAGTAGTAAGTAGTCTACTTGTGAGGAATGAACGAAAACCAAGCTGGAGAAAGCGTACTTGGTTTTAAATGTAAGTTGAATCTGCTATTTCTTTACAGGAGCACATGGTGCAGCAGATGTTCGACTAGAGTGGATAGGTAGCTTTTTGTCCGCGTCTCCGCTTCAGTACGCACTTCTTCTCCTTGTGCAGCTGGTAGGTGAACTGCTGGGTACGAAGAAGTGCCGCCTGTACAGTGAATGCGATGCTCTGGTCGACGCCTGAGTAGACAGTGTGATCCGCCCTTGCAACATGGTTTGCTGTTTCGGATTTGGGCTGATGCAGCAAAGGGAAGACTGGGGCAGTCGAAGCCATTGTTTGATGATGCTGTGCGGCTGTGAAGGACAAAACACCAGTTGCTGGCAGGGTTGAGATGAACTCCAGAGAGCCTTGTGGAACTTTTTCCGTCGTCTTGAGGTGCGGGAAGTTGGAACGATGGGCACCTTGTTTGCGGTATGGTCAAAGCGCCGCCGGCAGGTCTTGACCATGACAAATCCAGGTTCTTGCCGCATCAGGCGCACAAAGAACCAAAGGGAACCAACCCCATCAAGGAGGCACCAAAGCTGTAAGAATGTTCCAGCCAATTATTCTTTGGTTCTAGAGCAGATCTCCGTGCACGCAGGGGTCTGAGCCAGCCCATGCTCCATTTGTACAAACAAACAAACATACGAACACACATGCATACATGGTAACATAACCGCAACGTAACGTAACGTAACGTAACGAAACGCTACATTACATGCATACACATGCATGTACAGATATGTGATACGTGTATGCCATCTGCGTGGTCTTTACTTCTGCACTCTGCGCTTCACTCAGCCGGTGGGCTCATCTCTCTTTCTGCTCGTCTCGATTCTCCTCGACCAATTTTCGAAGTGGTTCGGATTGCTACCCTTGTAATAAGGTTTCCTTGGGCAGTTTTCTTTTGGCACTGCGGCATAGGAGCCTCACCTGGGCCCTGTACTCTTAATTGCAATCTTGCGTGCCTGCAACTGCCAGGATACACGCCGGAAAGATGTGCCGAATCGCTGATCCAGAGGCAAGTGGGCTGCGAAGATACCGGAGCTGATGGCTACTGAGCCCAACAGCTGCCGGCGTGCCAAAAAAACAACAACACAATGAGTGACCAAGCCGGAAGCATGAACAGGGCGTGGCCAACAGTTTGAACGGACTCCTTGTACCTGAGCTTAGGCTGACAGATCCAGATTGCATCACAGCGCCTCCAATACATTAGTATCCGAGTCTCCAGTCCCCTAGGCCTAGTTGCACATCTTCAATCTGACCTAGAATGTGGGACTATGTCGGATGTGCTGGCAGACTGTAAGAAGGAACTGCAGTAGGAGCTCGAGTGAGCCCATGCCAGGGACTGATCATGAAGGATCCGGCCTGCAAAGTGATGTTGCATTCCTCGCATTTCACGCAGGTGTATACTCCCTCTCGATGCAACTTCGATTTGACTCCGGAGTTTTTCTGTTCGGGGCTCCGCATTCCGCTGTACAGCGGCGCAGGCCTGCTGGAAGGTGAGCGAGCGAAGGTCCTACTTGAATGCTGGCCGCAGCTTCGTCGAGTGCGAGCACAAGGCCCGAACGCGGTGCACGAGCAGAGTGCGGGGCTTCTAGTTTCTGGCGGTTGATGATTGCGAGTTTATCATCAATGATCTTGGTCGTTGTGCACCATCCAATCCACATGATGCATGAATCCAACTGGATTTGACAGTCGTGCGTTTATGAAGATCTCATCACTGTGCGCAAGAGGCTCTTTTCACCGAGTGCGACTTCAAGCTGATGCTGGGTGGTTTTGGCGTCGTCGCCTGTGGACGTTGCGAGTACCAGACAGACAAAGCTGCGCAACCCCGCAGCACTGAAACTTCACTGGTTGCCCCGAAATCCCTCGTTAGTGTATGATCTGTATCCCCCAATCACCCCAACAACAAATTGCGCATTCATGTTTTTGATTTACAGGGTCAGCCCGCGATGGAAATCAAGGAGTTGTGCCCTCTCCCGAAAGGCCCGAAAGTGAAGCCTCACGGCAGTCTGCATATGTACCAAGGAGAACTTCACAAAATCCAAGGTTTAGGGTTTAGTGCTTAGGGCTTTAGGGAAGACACTCGGCGCCAAGCGATGGAACTGAGGTCGAAAACCAAGTTGAAGAAGCCCTTGCCGGCAGAGTTGCGATCCTGCAATGGCCGCATGCATCTCACCCGCTTCCTTCCCAGACCTGAGGTTTCAGCATGGACGGAAACTGACAGCTAGTTGCTGGAAGGAGCCTGTTTGAGGTAACATGTGGGGTTTCTACCCCCCCAAGCTTTGAGCCCACTCTGTAAATCTCCAGCCACAGGAGCGCTTTAGCTCAGTGTCAGCCTTGGGGGAGAAAGGCGCCAAGCTGACTTTGACTCTCTGCCCAAAGAGCCCGGGCCCAAATCCCCGATTTCAAATGGGCTTCAATAACCTAAGCGAAGGACGGGAGATTCAACCACCAGCCTGCACGGTCTGTGTAAGTGGGCAGGGGTTGCACGTTGGGTGTTGCAAGGTTTCGATGGCATGCGTCATGCTAGGCCAGTTTTAGGACCTTCGAGGTATGGCATGTTCTGTATGCCAGTGTAACATCTAGTATCGTCGAGTCCGGCCGAGCAGGTGTGTGTCATGTTGATGGGCCGGGTGTGAAAGCTTGTTGAAGGGCCACTCTGATGGACCTTAGCCGTATCTGACCCGCACATCCCCAGAAACCCGTTACATCCCCATGTGCTTGTTCGCCCGACCTCGTTCCTGCACCTTGTGCTCAACTTCAAGCCTTTCTCAGGACATGTGTGGCCGGTAGCTGGCTGAACTCCCACAAGCGCAATGGTCTGGAAGCTCGGACTCCAGCATTTTGGCATCTCGGTCCTAGGACCTGGTCTGAGCAGCCGCAAAGGCTGACCCACTGTACACTGATGCCCCATGTTGTCCCCTATTGTCCCATGCCCCGTTTGAGTGTTGGCCAGCTTTGGTGCGGCGGCAGTGCCGTGCCGAGTCTCCGCCACATGACTGTGGATTCTCCTAGCTGTGCACCAATACGCCGCACGAGCCAAGATGACGATATGCCAACCCATCGCACGGTTGCAGCGATGATCGATGTGGTAGTGCATCGCCGTACTGAGTGATCGACGTGGTAATGCATTGTCATATTGCCAGATCAGTGAATTGGCGTATTGGGGGATGGGAGGACACCGTTGTCTTGTCGTTGGCCATGGCGACGTAGCGCACACTACTGCGTGTTGAAAGTAATCCAAGCTGGAAAGTACTCTGGTCGGAACGAGGAAATGAGGGAATCAACCCTCCGGCATTTTGTTTCGCAGCTTTCCGGACGTCGTAAATCTGCAAGCAGCAATAGAGGGAAGCGACCTGTGTTGGTTTTGTAAATACATCTACGTCTAAAAACATATTTTTCAACTCCTTCAAGCCTGAACCCCAGACCCGCGCGCAAACCCAAGTTCTGGAATTAGGTACCCCAAAAACCTGTTTATGGTTTCTGGGTACCCAACTCCATTGTACTACATTCGGCCTTCTGGGAATTGTAAAGGCGCTGAACACAGTTGTAGCGATTGACTCAGGATGGCTTCACCTGTGGAGCTTGCGTGCAGGCCATCTGTGCAGTCATCTCCGGTAACCCTCTGTGCATGAGGCTTCGATAAGTTGCGTTTCGCCTTATTCAGAGTTTAGAGTTTAGGGTTTAAGGATCTTGGTGGTAAGATGTCGGTGTACACTGTTGAGGGTTTCGACTTCAGCTCATGGTCGGTCAAACCAAGCTGCTTGCTTGCTGGAGCTCCTTAAGGGGCTGAGGTCCCGCAATGTAGAGCAGCGGAAGAGTCCGCAATCATCATGTGCTGCGTGATTGAACCAGAAAATTGAACTGAAGCCTTCCGTCGCCTTGTTGTCAAGGAGTTCAGGGTCAAGGGCAGCTTGAGCCCTAGGGTAGAGACTCGCTTTGGTCGTGGCAAGAGTGCTGAGCTACCGATTGTTAGAGATATGTGCTTTCCTGGTTTCTTCGTTGTCTCAGATAGGAAGTCTGCCTGGGCTGTGTGCCACGATTTCCCTTCACAGGTGGTGACACCGTCCTATGCAGATTTAGACCAGTCTCATGACTTAAGTGGCAGACGTGTGGAGGTTCTTTCCTCAAGGGATATGCCAGTCGAGTGGCTGTGGGCCAGCAAGGATTGAGAAACAAGAGCTGTACTTTGTCGGCGCCATCAAGGCCAAGATGCTGCTTGTGTGGTGGAAAATCGCGCCATAGAGGCCCTGATAGTAGCTCTGCGCCTGAAGTGCCGGGAGGTTCAGCTGCTCGTGGATGGGGAGAAAGGTCTGCACGGCATGAACAAAGATGGAGAGCTTGTGTCCATGTCGCCGGGCTCTTACCCGGACTCGATTTTGCCAGTCATGCCGTTACTATGCTTACATGAATCTGTATCGACTGCAGTGTTTTGCAGTCGTCGGAAGCCTTGCTTGTTGGGGCTTTGATGGTTGACAAGCATCTTCGACATTATCCTCTTGCGGAAATCGCCTTGACCTCGAACCCTCGAAGCGAATTCAATGCCAGTTTCAGGCCTCCTGGGAGAAACTACAGTCCTGTCATGACCTGTCCTGTTGGCGCATCTGAATTACTGAGGAATATGGCTGACGTCTCCAAGGGCGCAGGTGAGTTTGTTGCGGAGCTCATTCCTGGCAAGCCTACCTTCCTCCGTCGACGCAGGGTTCGATTGGACATGAACACATGCACGGTTAATTGACAATATGTATATGTATATATATATATATGTATATATATATATGTATATGTATTTATGTATATATGTATATATGTATATATGTATATATGTATATATGTATATATGTATATATGTATATATGTATATATGTATATATGTATATATGTATATATGTATATATGTATATATGTATATATGTATATATGTATATACGTATATAGAAGTTAATTAAACTAATTAAATCAGTTATACATTAGTTAGTGAGTGAATAAACCCTAGGCCAATCTGTCGGACCTCAGGGACGAGCATACGGAAACGTAGGTTTTGGAGGGGGGGGGGGTACCATATATATATATATATATTATCTTGTATTATATTCTATTTGATTACATTTATTATATTCTATTATATCCTGTTATATTCTATCATAATCCAATATATATTCTATTATATTCTATTATATTCTATTATATTCTATTATATTCTATTATATTCTATTATATTCTATTATATTCTATTATATTCTATTATATTCTAGTATATTCTATTATATTCTATTATATTCTATTATAGTATATTATATTATATTGTATTGTATTATATTTATTAGATTTCATTGGATTATATTCTATTTCATTTTTTACTACAGCGCGGCTATACATTATCACACGGCTCAGGGCCCTCCACTCTGACAGAATCAGAATGGAACACGAGTTCCACTTTTTCTTTCAAGGGATCTTCGGGCCGAGGGCTCTAGGGCGAGGTCAAGGGTGAACTCAGGATACATGTCATGACGTCGAGCAGACAAAGAAAGTGTCAAGACTCCCCCACAAGGGTATTCCGTGAGAAGTTTAAGCCTGATGAATAGTGCTTTGAGCAGGGGCTGGCTTGTGTTTTTCTTGTCCACAAGCCTGGCCCAGCAAGGATACAAGGCTGTGACCAAGACGAAGAGCGGAAAGGAAAACTGCCTGCAGGCCGGCGTGGATCGCATCTTGCAACTGGCAGTTTGCGACGAAAAGGATGCGCAACTGCTTGAGCCGGCAGATATCGCGAGAGGGCTCTTTGCTGACTTCAAGGCGAGCTCGGACGTGCCAAGTCCGATGTCCCAGGACTTGAAGACGGACAGTCAAGTGCCGACAACCCTTCAAGGCCTCAGGCTGGACGCAAGTTGCGGCGACCACGTGGTCTCCTCTTTTGGCTTCAAATCCAAAGGCAGCCTTGGCCTTGAAGTAGAGTGCGCCGCGGCCAGCACTTACGGAGAGGCGGAGAAAGACGACAGCATGCTGCCTGGATGGACTCAAGTCATCAACAGGGACACTTGTCATTTTTTCAGCAAATGTCTCGAAGCCTCTGCTGATGGCAGTAGTCAGATCCACAGTTTTCGGGGCAACAGCTAAGGACACGGGAAACTGCTACGATACCAGCCACAAAAGTCGTCCATGCGATGGCTCTACCGGCCAGAAGTTCGAGATAAGCAAAACCTCCACACATCGATTTTCGATGAAGTTTAAGTGACTGGGCTTTATAAGTCTGGCGCAACATGTCAATGTGTGTAGACCAAGTTCCTAAGCTTCTCGGAGCATGCACCACGCAACCGCACGTAGCGGAATGCTACTTCGGCACAAGCAAATTTCAAGAGCAGGCGCAGCCACGCAATTGCTTGTTTGTTTCCCAAATACTTTCCCAAATGAATGCGCTTCTTGCGGTGCCCATTGCGTGCCACATGATTGTTCGGCCTTGTTGTTTTCGTTTGACGAGCTGTGTATATTTCGAACAACGCTTGTTTGCTTGTTTGTTTGTTCGTTTGTTTGTTTGTTTGTTTGTTTGTTTGTTGCGGACTGGTTGCCCTATGCAATAAGACATCATATTTCACCTATGTTCTTACATGAACATCATGGCTAGAACCGTAATTGGCGCTGCAACCGCAACTATCATGACGAGTACTGAAGCCTTGTAGTCGCTTCTACTGTTTTGGGGCATGATGACGAGTTGACAGCAACATTGGTAGTAATGCTGCAGTATACCTACCATGCCGTAGCGATAAGATCCGTGGTCCGAGTGAGGAGTGGCATTCGTAGTAACAGTGAAAGAGATGATAAATGTTCGCTTGCTCGCCTTGGCAGCTGGGCCGGCCCGAGCCACCTGCGTTGGCTGCCGCAGCCAGAAAGCAGCAGTTCAGGGTGTCCATGGCGGGTCTCAAGCGTTTTTAGGAAAGGTCCCAGCGGGGTCGCAGCAGGGCTGGAGGAGAATCATTCCAAAAATAGGAGGCCCACAAAGCAGCGGTCAAGGGGGTTGCTGGATTTTCCAGGATGGGTAGGGCAGGGGGGTGGGGAGTGGGCCTACGGGGGAGGGGGTGGGAGGTTGGGGTGTGGGGGAAGGGTGGGGAAGGGTGGGGAAGGGGAAGGAGACCGGATCCTGCTAGCGATGCAGGCAGGGCTTCAGCAATGAAACTCTAGCAGGGCTACTAAAGGGTTTCTGCTGACCTAATCAGCCTAGTTGCATTTCTTCCACGTTTTGAAGCTAGGATGGCACAGCAATGCGGTCTCAACACGTTGCGAGGAACGGCAAGATCCTTGTTTTTTTGAAGAGCGTGAGAGCCATGCCGACAAGTGACGGCTGGAGTCTTGGCTTGGCAGCTTGCGCTTTACCGGCGCTGTCGTTCTCAGATCCACCTGAATAGGGTTTCAGGGTCCGAGTTTGAAAACGCTGTCCTTGGAAGGTACTGTTCGGACCCGGCCAGCATGTCCTGCACCCACCGTAGTCCAGTGAGCAAGGGGCGGGGAGTTTGACACACTGCAGGATTGCCAGCGAACTTCAAAATGAATCGTTCTAGGCGTGCCACCCCGCCAGCCATTTTTTCGTTAAAGCTCCGGGCGCAGCATCTAAGGAAAATTCAAAGACTAATCGGAGGAGAATGGAAGTGCCTCAGGGATAAAAAAAGCGAGGAGAACAGGGACACAAACTGGCGCCCGTGCCACAAGTGTTTCTTGGCTGAAGTGTTTCCTGCCAGGGGCTGATGCCTTCGTACACTGCCTTGTACACATAAGATATGAGGCAGTCGACAGAGACTGCCAATCAGACGCTGGCTACAGTGTCGCTCGTGGCCACGCGACCCTCACGCACCTGAGGTAACAACAACGACTGCCAGTGGACCGTTGGAAATGGCCTTCAAGATATGACGGAGGCACCAATGGTCTGTGGCCCTGGCACTGTGTTGACGAAGGTCACCAAGACTGCCGACTGGCTTTCTTGGGAGCGACTCTGCTATCTAATCTTGTCAGCGCAGCGTCGGCTTCGAAATTTGTTGTAGGAAGCTCCACGAGCCCTACCGTAGAATGCTCGTCGGCAGAGTCTTTGTACTATCCACCTTCAACAGTCCCAGCAGCCTCAGGCCAAACACATGTGCAGCTCATGCAATCGATCTTCAGTGAATCTTGAGGTGCCGCCACGTGGCAGCGCTCGGAGCTTGCACCCCGCATTACAGCACGCAGGTTGAGATCCAGGACCCAAATTTGGAGAACAACAAGGCACATGCTGAGGTTGCCCTTAAGAAGACCTGCCTCTATCCGACGTAGACGGGATGGTAAACCTGCTGCGCATATCCAAATTGCTCTGTTCGTTCTGCTATCATGAAAGTGTTCTTGTTGCAGTTGCTGCTGCTGTTGCTGCTGCTCAGCCTTCTCAGCTCAAGCGGACTGTGAGCTTCTACCCATCGAATGAGGTTCTGCAACAGCTCCGGGGCCACTCTTTCGATGTAGTAAGTTTGCCGATGGTCACAGCTTGCTTCCTTGACAGCCGTTGAGGTAGCCTCTAGTTAGCATGCTCTTCCATCCTTGAGTGGATAAAGGCACGTCAGGGCCCCAGCAAGAAGGAGCTCTTCTCTCTCTTCTCTCTCTTCTCTCTCTTCTCTCTCTTCTCTCTCTTCTCTCTCTTCTCTCTCTTCTCTCTCTTCTCTCTCTTCTCTCTCTTCTCTCTCTTCTCTCTCTTCTCTCTCTCTCTCTCTCTCTCCCTCTTCTCCCTCTTCTCTCTTCTCTCTTCTCCCTCTTCTCCTTCTTCTCCTTCTTCTCTCTCTTCTCTCTCTCTTCTCTCTCTCT